CATAGAGTCCCAGGCTGGAGCCTGGTCTGCTGGGCTTTGGGGGTATTGAGCAGCCCCTTTGGGATTTGGGGAATAGCTATTGGTGTCCCTGAGCTCAGCAATGCTGATGCATCCCTGTACTGGGGGGCACAGCGGGGCCTCTCCTGGCTCACTGGGGCACGGGGAGTTTTCTGGGCTCCCCCCACCCTGCTCAGCACCCTCAGCATCATTCCTTCCCCCCCCCTCCCCAAAATAACCCATTGCTACTTTTTCCTGCTTTCTAAAGCAGATCGGCTCAATTCCTGAGCAGGGCTGACCCCTTCCCCTGTTCCCCACCCCAGGCATGGTCCCCCCCACGCCGAGCATCACCTTGGGGATGTCACCCATCCCAGCAGCCCCGATGCGAAGGCAGGAGCAATGTTTTCCCAGGCGGTTTTTCCCAGGAGAGCCGAATCCTGTCTACCGACACCGGCAAAGCGGGTCATGCTGAGAGCCCGCGCCTGCCAGACAGATAAATATTGCATGTGGGTTTTGAGGTCTGGGGAGGCAGCGAGCGCCTGTGCCTGGTGGGTAATTACCTATTGATTGCTCAACTTGCAAACTAAGCACCTCTGTGCCGGGGTGGGCAGGGGGGAATCTGCCCAGCCCTGCCAAAGAGCTGGCACGTTAGGAGCAAGCAAGGAGCTAGAGGTGTGGAAAGAGCACCTATGGATCCTTCTGGCTGCAGGAGGGGAGATATTCCCTTGGGAGGGGAAGGGCCGTCCCTGCAAATGGGGGCTCGGGCAGCCAGGATGGGGGCTTTGGGGTCTGTTCTTTGTGCCTCCCCCAGCTTTTATCACAGAGGCTGCTGATGCTGGCTCAGGTTTTCCCTCTGCCTTTGCAGCACATTGCTTTGGTTTCCGAAGGCAAACCCTTCCTTTGGGCACCTCTTCGGCTTGTCCAGCCAAGCCTGGAGCGAGCGGAGGGGTCAGTTTGATCTATTTAATGCTCATTTTCTTCCCCCACTGCTAATTCGAGCAGCCCTGAAGTGAAGGAGGATGAAGCAGGATTCTACCGCAGGGCTAAGAGCTGGGTGTGTGGATGGCTCGCATGATGCTTGGACAAGTTGCTGTGCCCCGGTGCCGGGGACCAGCGAGGGCAATCCCCACGGCCCTGCAGCGGGAACATCAGGGAGAGCCTCCTGACCTTTAAGGCGAGGGAAAACAAAACAGCTGGTGAAGCTACAGCTAAATATCACTTGCGTTTCCAGCCGCTGCAAGGCATGTGAGCCGGTGGGGTGGCTTGGGGGATGTCAGAGCCTGCTGGCTAATTATGGGGCAGCCCTAACGAGGGTCTGATCCCGTCAAACACAGCCCTTCGGGTGCATCTGTGAGTCGAGGGCTCTGCCATGTCCCAGGTCCAGGGCTTGTCTGCAAGACTTGATGGCGCAGGGTGAGCCTAGGGCTTGGTGAGGGGCCGGTGTGAGCCCCACCATCCCCCCTGCCCCCCGCTCCCTCACCCTGGACTGAAAACTTGGCAGTGCCGGGCTTTGCTGGCGAGGGATGTGTGCTCAGCCATCCTGACTGCAATGCTACAGCCCAAGGCATGCACAGGACTGGGCTTAACTGGCAGATCCCAAGATGTGAAGATGCTCCCATGGGCCAGAAGTCGCCCCCAAAACACTGCCAGCCTCCTGGGGGGCCACACAGCCACGGCATCACCCCAGAGAGGGTCCGGAGGGGCCAACTCCTCCTCGGTGCTGAGGTGGGTCCTGCTGCCCAGGGCTGGGGTAGGGCATGGGAGAAGCACAGGGACCCACAGGGAGGGGTAAAGGCCAGCTCCAGAACTGCATTAATTCGGTTCGGTTCAGAGACAATTCAGCCCCAGCTGCTCCATCCCCTGTCCAAGAAGTCCAGGTGCTTGGCAAGCCCTGGCCAAGGGTCCCCCCAGCACCTCCTGCTCCATCCCTGTGGACAGGGCCCCCCACCGTGCTTTTGGGGCCAGTGACCGGGGCCGGGGGACTAGCGAGGCATCGAGCGGAGAAGATGGGGAAATGGTGTTGCCACGGAAACCGCTGAACAGCAAAGTGCTGATGTGTTTTTTTTTTTGTCAAGGCTGGAAAAAATGCGGGGGAGAAGGGCAGCAGCGAAGCCCTGTGACATGGGCGAGCCGGGGGGGGGCTGGGGTGCAGGGGGTTTGAACCCTGGGCAAGCTAAGGTTGCAAAGCAAATATATACATTATGTACATTGAAAATAACACCTCCATCACATGGAGGATTTAGCGTCTCATGCAGGGCAGGGCAGGGCCAGGCAGAACGAGGCACCAGCCTCTGCTTAAGCTTCAGAGCATCCAAAATCTGGGGTCCCTGGGGGGGGCAAAGCAACCCCTAGCAGGGACTGCATGGGCCTCTCCATCACTGCAAGGTCATGAACAGCCCCAGGTGGAGCTGGGCCACCCGCGCCTGAGCTGACAGAGCCCCAGAGCTCCTGGGGGCTCTTGGCTGAGCATCCCTGCCTGCAGAGGCTGGGCAGGCAGCGGGAGGGCAGGGGAGGGAACCAGCATGAGCTTCTGCTGTTTGAAGCCATGGCTGCACCTCTCGAGCGCTGATGAAAAATCAGAATTGAAGTGCCCACTTTCCCTGAAGTTCAAGAGGGAGCTCCTGGGCTGAGTGCAGGCAAACAGGCAGCTGCCAGGCTTCTTGCCCGAGATTATTCCTCGCCAGGCTGGAGGATGTGGAGGGAAGGAGGGGACCGTCACCTGCGGAGGAGAGTGGGGAAAGCCCCAGGGACCTGGCACCTCTGGGGCTGATGGCTGGGGAGGGATCTCCCAGGGGGGCTTAGCCAGACCCCAGCTCCCCTCAGCCATCCCAGTCTGGGGACTGACAATCTGGGAACTGAGTTTTTGCAACACACACATGTGTTTGTGCCATCCCTGAGGAGCAGGTCAGAGGCTCAGCCCTGGGAACTGTCCCCAGGAGCCACCCAGAGCCTGTTTCAACCCCTGGATGCCAGAGAGCCCCTCGCTGTCCCCTGCCCCAGTGACACCCACCTACCGTGCCGCAGGGGGCCGGATCCTACATCCCCATCCAGAGACCAGAGCATCCTTCAGGGCTCCGGGCAGGTGGGCAAACCCTCCCTGGGCAGGGGACCCTGACACGGGTGGCGAGGGAGCCTCCAGCAGTGCCCAGCTCCTCCTTTTGCCTTCCCTGCTCCCTTTCATCCTCTGGGATTCCCCAGAGGACCTGGGGGTGATGTGTGGGGTGACGTTTCCCCTGGGGACATCTCCCCTGCGGGACAGAAGGACACAAAGGGATGCTGAGAGCTCCACCACAAAGTATTCGGGGCCAGGCTCCCTCCAGTATTGCTCAGACACCTTTGCTGAATGCGACTGCAAGAAATATCCATCCAAATCCCCCGTCTTGGGCTTGTCCCCCCCAAACATGCCCTGTTGCACCCCGGGGATGGCACACGAGCCCTGGTCCCGCGCGCTGCTGGCACGGTGCTGCCCGTCCTGCGCTCCCTGCACGCTGCTCGCCACCGCGCAAGGTTACGCCGATGTTTTATTCATCCTCCACCATCCACTATGTTCCTTAATTGCAGCCACACACACTTTGCAAGCGTAAATAATTGCCTCCGAGCCTTATTAATGACTTTGGCACGCTATGAGCGCTGAAGCCTGACACGCACTCTCCGGGGTGTCTGACCCTTCCCTGGGCTGCTGGGACCCCCAGAGACTGGGGGTTTAGCACCCAAATCTGGGTGCAAACTGCCTTGAGCTCTGCCTGGGGAAAACCTCACACCTCAGTCCAAGATGAAAAAATTAACGATCGGTTAATCCAACAGCTCCACCGTCCTCCTCGGCTCCTGCCCATCGGCTCGCGCAGGCGCGGGAGCAGCCCCCTCCTGCCCCGTCCACAGTCCCTGGTGGTCACAGTGACTTTACCTGTGTCCCCGTCACATCTTGTTGCCTCCAAACAGAGCCGCTGGGAGAGGCTGGTGGTGGTGAGGGACGGGCTCGGTGCCACGAGCCTCCATCCCGCACCGCCTGTAGCCAAAGGTGCGTCTCCTAGCTGGTCCCCACCGCCCTTTCCCTGGAAAACCCTCCCGGCTGTCAGTGGAGGTGCTGCCATGCTGCCTTCTGCATCCAAATGCAGCTGGGGAGCCACTCCAGCCTTAATTAAAGGTCTTTAATCACCAGGCAGGTGATGGATGGGCATCGAGCCACCACTACATCCCAAGCTGGGGGCTGGTGGATTCAAGACATGGGCTGGAACTGACTGGGGGTTCTTGGTGGACCACGAGGCTCGAGCCAGGAGGGTGCAAACTGAGGCACAGGTTCCAACCCCCCTTCAGAAAGCAGTCAGTGCCACAGAGACAGTTCACACCTTTATTGCTCCAGCTGGAGGGGTTTTCCCACTCCTCTCCCCCTCATCCCTTCTTCCTTTCCTGGGGACACAGTTCCCTTGAGCCAAGTCCATGTGTCACCGAGCGGAGGGACACGGTGCTATCCCTCTGGGATGCAGCCACCCTGCAGCCACCCTGTCTCCCTCCATGTCCTCCCATTGTGTGTGCTTGGGTGAAGAAGAAGGTGTTTGGGGGGGAAAACCTGGCCCCTTTCCCACCCCTGGCCCCCAGGACAGTGGCACAGCCCCAAATCCATGGGGCACCGTCCCTCCTGCCCCCAAATCACCCAAGTCCAGCTTTCCCCCAGGGAAGGGCAAGCGGCCCAGGTCAGACCAGTCTCCTTTTCCAGGGATGTGTCCATCCTCAGTGGACTCCCAGCACACCACACCCCAAGCAAAGGGCAGGTATTTACAGGGAGGAAGAGCTTGAATTCACCAGGGTCTTCCCGAGGAAACCCACCGGAGCTGGAGCTTGGCTCCCCAGGACGTTTGAGGGAGCCCAGTGCAGGGAAACAGGGAGCAGGGCTGGGAGGACTGGTGCTGCCCCGTCACCATCCCTCCCCAGCCCAGCTGCCTGATGTGGCCGTCACAGCATCCCATCTTGCACCGCGTCCCCTCCAGCCCCATCGCCGGGCGCTGTCAGCAGAACTGCAGGAGAAACAGAGCCAGGGGTGAGTGGTGAGCCCTCACCCAGCCCTCCAGCACTGTTTTAGGGGGCTCTGCCACGCCAGGGAAGGGTCGGGGCACCTGGAGCCCCCCATGATGCTGGGCACAGACCTTCCAGCGGTTCCCGCATTCGTTGCACAGCACGAATGTCGTCATGGGCTCGTCAGCGCTGCGCGTCTGCACCTGGGAGGGAGTAGGTGGCCGGGTCAGCAGAGACCCCTCCAGCGTCCCCCAAATCGGGGTCCCCTGGGGACAGGGGGGAGCCCCGGGGGCTTTGCAGGGCTGACCTGGTTGTATGTGCAGTTCTTCTTCTTGCACTTGCCGCACTGGAAGAGGTCAGTGACGGTGCCACCTGTCTTGGCCATCTGGTGCTCCCTGATGGCCTCCTGGGTCATGGCGTTCCTCAGCTCCTTCAGCTCGTCGCTGGCCATCTCCTGCCACCAGCATCAGCCCAGCAGAGGCAGCACTGCTGCAGCTCTGCCCGGGGGCTCGTAGCCAAGCCGGCACAGGGTGTAAGCCCCTGTGGTCCATCACCCTCCCCATCCTCTCCAGGACCAGGACTGACTCTGCTCTCTGTGCTTGCTGCAGGGCTCAGGCTCATCCAGAGGAAAAAAAATCACCCCATCCTCAAACCAAAACTGCTGCCTGCAGGGACCTGGCTCCCTGCAGAGGGAGCTGGGCTCCCAGGAGCCTGATTTGGGGATCCCAGTTGAGGAGGAGGAATGGCAATCCTCAAGCCTGACTCAGTGTGATATCTCACACCCGGCTCTGTGATGGGCTGGGGGGCTGCAGGGCTCTGGAGGGACCAGGCAGTGCCCCCCTGCTTTCTCCTTGTGCCTGATGCTCCCCGTGCCCCAGCCAGCACCAGGGTAGGATGGGGAGATGCTGGGACAAGCCCAGTGTGGACATCGCCAAGCCAAGGCCCAGCTGGCCCTTGGGCACCAACACAGCCTCCAAGAGAGGCAGCATGGACATGTCCACAAGAGTGCCCCCCCCCGCTCCCCCCTTGCTCCCCACCTCAGCTGTCATGCGGGCGATGAGGCTGGGCAGGATGGCCCCGCACAGCACGTTCCTGCGCAGGCTGGGGTTCTTGGGGTCTTTCAGGTTGCTGATCCTGCTCCGCACCCGGTTGCGATACTTCATGTCCGTGCTCTTCAGCTCCTGGAAGATATGTGGGGGTCTGTCAAGGAATCAAGGGGGCAAGGTGGGGGGATGTCAGCCCCGTGGGCACTCACTGCTGCTCTGGGCTCAGTGGTACTGATTGATTGCCACCAGGGCCAGTGCCCATGTGCATGTGGAGGTGGCCGAGCTCAATGGGGCTTTGCTCCCTGGGGACCACATGTGGGGGATCTCCCTCTCCTTGTGTTCAGTAGGATGAAGCGCAGCTTGGGATGCGGGGAGGAAAACAACTTTTGTCCTTGCTGTGACACCCAAAGGCTGTCGGGGCACAGGGACTGCCACCAAGCCCTGTACTGGGATGGGAGTTCATGGTGCAGAGGACTCTGCTTGCTCTCCTCCTCCCAGGCTGGCCAAAAAGCCGGCAGGTGCCTGCACGGATGCGGGCAGACAGGCTGAGGTGGCAGCTTTGGGGTCCTATGGGGCCCCAGGCACACATGGGCAGAAAGTTTGGGATGCACCAAAAATCAGATCATGCCCAGGAGGGGGAACCACCTTGGGGCTGGTCCCGGTCTCTGGGGGCTGCCAGGAGACCCCCAAGCCTTGAGTTGGGGGTGAATGGAGGTGGCTCCATCCCTGCCAGCGTGGTGCAGCCTGGGTACTGCGATGGACCGGGGCCGGCGAGAGACACGGGCACCCACAGCAGGCTCCAAGAAGAGGCTTTGGCTGGATTTGGGTTTTATTTCCCCAGGGATGAAGGCAGGTCCCTGAGCAGAGGGGTTTAGGAGGGGATGCACAGACCCCTGGACTAAGGCAGGTGCCATGGGGATGCTCTGCTCAGCGTCAGCATCAGCATCAGCATCAGCATCAGCATCAGCATCAGCTTCTAACCAGGGTCTGGGCTCCCTCTGCAGGCAACAGGGACAGCGGAGCCCCCTGTCCTTGTCCCTGCCACCCTCTGTCCTTGTCCCCACCACCACTCTTGCGCCCAGGCCTGTGCCACCCAGCAGATGGAGCCTGGGGACTCCCCGCTCCCCCAAAGGATATGGTCTTCAATCTCCGATGCCATCTTCTCGCAGTTGACACCAAACTCCTTGTAGTCATCTAAAGGGCAGAGAGGCCCAGGGGTGACATTCAGGCGTGAAACCAGCCAGGTCTCACCGTGCATGAAGAAACCCTGAAAAAAAATCTCACCTTTCCCCCTCAACTTGTCCCAGGCACCCCATCTCTAAAAAAAACCCTATTTTTACCCATCTCGAACCTTACAAAGGCCCCTTTCCCACATCCAACCCCTTACTGGACACCACACCAACCTCCTCTTTCATTTTGGGGCTGAACACTGAGCTGCAGTTTGTTTGCGAGTCCAGGGTGAGTTTGCTGTCGTAGGGCTGCGGGTGCCCCAGGATGCAGAGCTTTGCTTGTTATTGTAGGGTTGCTCTTATTAGGGCTGTCCCATAGGAGAAACAGTGCAGTTTGGGATCCAGCACCCCCCAGACCCACTCACCATCCATGCGGAGGGCGGCTGTCAGCATCTCGATGCACTTGTCCCGCACTGAGTCCCCCGTGAGATAGCAGGGGGCCAGGAGGCAGGGGCTGGGCGAGAAGGGGGGGCTGGTGGGGGTCCGTGGTGTCTCCGGTTTGGCCTTGCTGCTGTTGGCTCTGTAGGGGCAGACGGGGAGGACAGGCAGGCACCGGGGTCCTGGCACAGCCCCAGGGGACCTACCGGGTGTCCCGTGGCACTGGGATGGGTCTCTCCTACCTTTCCTCCTTGCTGTCACTGGAGTTTCTCCGGGAGCTGGTGGGAGCTGGCAAGGGGCTGGTGCCCACAGAGGCTCTCCTGGGGGTGGCACAGGGGGGACAGTGGGGATGTCACCAAAGATGGGGCAGGGACCGGTGGCAGGACCTCAGGCACCAGCACATCAATGCATGCGCTGGGAAGCCAACAGGAATCCCCCTGGGGGAGGATTTGCTCCTCACGGGGAATGTCCCAGCGCCCACAGCAGAAGCAGGGCTCCCAGCCATCTCTACCCACCCTGCGCATGGGTCCCACGGTCAGAGCATCCCCAAAGACGAGCCCCAAAGCATCCCCAGGCTGCCCGGAGATGCCCCCTCCTTACCTCTCCCCTGACGGTCTCTTCTGCAGGGAGGAAGAGGAGGAGACGGCTGGGGTGGTGGAGGACCTTGAGTCGGCAGAGTCTCTCCTGGCAGGACGAGCCCCACCTCAGAGAGCAGCAACAGGGACCAAGCGGTGGGTCCAGACCCCCATCCGTGGCCTGTCGAGGGGCTGGGGTCCCAGCTCTCCCATCCCCAGCTGGCCCAGGCACCCACCTCTCTTTCTTGCCATCTAGAGGTGACTTCTTCGAGGACGCAGTGGGGCTCCGACTGCTGCTGGGCTCTCTTCATCGCAGAAGCCCAAAGAAGGGAGAGATGCTCTCAGTGAGCCTGGCCCCAGCATCCCCCGCTGTGATCTGGTGAGCCGGACCCTGCCCGCCCATCCGCACACCCTGGCCCTGTCCAAGTCATCCCTAAGCCCCACCAGACCCCAGGCTGCCGGCACAGCCTCCCCCGGGGCTGGCAGAGCCCAGCGTGGGGTTCAGTGTGCCCTTTGGCTGGTACCTCTCTGGGATGGAGTCGGCAGGGTGGCCCCGGGGGGTGGCAGCACGAGAGCCAGGCTTGCTGAGCTTCCTAGGGACAGAGAGAGCGGGGCAGGGTCAGACGAGCACCATCCAAACAGCCCTCACCTGGGCAATAAATAGCTCTAGAGTTGGAAAAATAAAATAAAATAAAATAAAATAAAATAAAATAAAATAAAATAAAGGAAAAGCCATTTCTCCCTTCTCTGAAAACTGCCTGGGTGCTGCCACAGCTGCAGGCAGCCCTTTGGTTCTCTGGCGGTGCTGCCGGGGGACGGGCAGAGATGGATAAACCAAGCAACTCGCAAGGAGTGAGCAGAGGGAGGTCTCACATCAGCCCCACCGATGCCTTGGCCATGCGGTTGGTGCCCCCCGACAGCGGGCAGGAGCCCCCACCTCTCTTTGTGCTTCTCCCTGTGCTTCTCAGCCGGGCTCTTGGGGTGCTTTGCCCCTTCGTTGGGGCAGCTGGGAAAATCCAGCCTCTTCTCCTTCTTCTCCTTCTCCCCGTCTGTGTCCTTCTCCTTCTTCCCATCCACATCCTTCTCCTTCTTCGGGGTGGTGGAGGACTCTGGGGGAAAGATTTGGGTGTCGCAGGCACAGCCCAAGGCAGCGCAGGGCACAGAAGGAGCTGCAACCCGGGGCGGAGGGATGGCTGGGGTGATGCTCAGCCCTTGGAGGGGGGGCACACACCGATTTACACCCCTCCATCCCAGAGCAAAAACGAGCCCTTGGGAAATCTATCAAGTCCGTGCATCGCCTGGCAGGGCTGGGTTATGGTGGCTGCGATGCATGGGAGCCTGCACCTCCCGGCTTGGGACTGATCCCACCCCGACCCTCCGGAGCACATCAGAGGTCTGGGGTACCAAGATGGCTTAGGGAGGGGTGGGGGGGTTCCTTCCTCTCCCCATCATCGCTCACCCAGCAGCCGCTTCCAGTTCTTGATGAGGATTTTGGCTGAGGCCACCACCTCTTCATCCGAGCAGTGTTTCCGCACCGAATTGACGGCCACCCCAATCCGCGTTGTCTGGGGATGCACGGCAGGGACGCGGCCTTGGGGACGTGCTGGCTGGCACGGGGGTACAGGACGAGCCACCCCATGGGGTG